TACTTTTTCGCCGTGCGCGTTTCCTGGTGTCTAACCAATTCGAGAGTCAATCGAGGTGGCCTAGGACAATAGGATTGAAAAGGCGTTTAAGGAGAAAAGAAAGAGAAAGAGAAGGAGGGAGGGATCGTGTGTGATTTTTTTTGTGTATGTGTATGTGTGTGAGTGTGATGCTCTTAAGACATGCACCGAGTGAAAGAGGTAGAGATCTATCTACCTCAATAGCATCAGTATTCAGGCTTCGACTTCTTTACGTCCGTCCTATACAGAGCAGAAAGGACTTCCTACTGAGTAAGTACTCGTTAGCTAGGTAATTAGTAATTTGCTCAGTAGTGCTCAGTAACTTAACTACTCACAGTCTGTTAGTGTTGTCTACTCGGTAGTACTGAGTACTCGAGTAGTAGTTAGAAACTCGATCCGCGGGGTCTCGGTCGGCGCTCCCTGAATTCCTTCTTCCCAGTTCTGACGCCGATTTTGCCCTCTTTTCCTTTTTTTCCCTTTGGTTTTTCTTGGTCGTTCTTTTTTCTGAATATTCTTATTTATTTTTAATCTCTTTTTTTCTATTTCCCTTTTCTTATTGCCTCCCTCCCCATTATTATTTATTATTATCGATTGGCGTTATTATTACTACTTACTGCTGGACTTAACATACCAAAACCTATACCTTCTTACCTACTACCTCTTTCTCCAACCACACCACTGTAAAAAAGCAAGTCCTACCTCAATTCTCATCTCCCTCTTCCTCTTTCTCCTCCTCCTCTTCTTCCCCTTCCTCTTTCTTTTTCCCCTCCCCCTCTCTTCCTCCCACCACGACTTGCCTCTTTCTTCTTTTCACCTCCTTTCGTTTCATTTCCATCTCCCCCTTCGCCGTGCGAGTTATTCTAAGAGACTTGTAATCGGGCTGGCCCAGTTCATCTCTCCATTGCTCTCTTTTTCTCTTCGCCCTTTTCTTACCCGTTTGGACGAGGGGCCGGCAACGTCAGCGCCTAAACGACGACAACAACAACAACAACAACAACACATCTTACCCAAGAGGCTGGTACTCTTTTCTTCAGATCGCGTGTTTGGATCTCACTTGCTTCGCGATTTATCGTCGACATACATCCAATCTACCCACAATATCAATCGCTTCTCCGGGTCGTTGCTCTCTCTCTCTCTCGGAAAGTCATCTTTGGTGATTGCGTGCGGTCCATCCGCTTTTTCTTTGATCAGGTTCATTTGGCGGTGCGTCTTCCTTGTTCGGCCCAACGGTGGCTATGTTTAACATCCCGTCCACCATGACTCTTTGTTTGCGCACATGCATACAAACTTCGCTTGCCGACTCGGGCTGATGGAATTCTCACCAGACCACTGTATCACATTCACAATGTATCCCCAACATGGTGCCCCTATGGCGCCTCCTCAGAAGCCAGAGACATTTATGCTCTCAAACGAAGCCCAGCAAAGCCTTCCTCATGATGCGCAAGTCGCACTGCAGCAGGTCGACAATCGTAAGTTCTATATCATGCCACTGCAACATTATCTGGGCTTATCCCCCCTCCTCCATCGCCACTCTAGAAGCTGACCTTGTGCCGCTTCCCCCCAGTCAAATATTTCCTTCTCTCAGCGCCCGTAGACTGGCATACGGATCAACTCATCCGCAGGTTCCTGCTCCCGACAGGCGACTACATATCATGTGTTCTCTGGTTAGTTTGGAGTAGAAGAAACAGTTGATAGGGAAAGGTGCACACGCTGATTGGTGGCAGGAACAACCTCTTTCACATCTCGGGCACGGATATCGTGAGATGCCTGGCCTTTAGATTCCAAGCCTTCGGTCGCCCTGTCAAAAACTCGAAGAAGTTCGAGGAGGGTATCTTCTCGGATTTGCGAAACCTCAAAGCCGGAACTGATGCCACGCTCGAAGAACCCAAGAGCCCATTCCTCGACTTCCTGTACAAGAACAACTGCATCCGCACTCAGAAGAAACAGAAGGTATTCTATTGGTACAGCGTGCCTCACGACCGCCTTTTCCTCGATGCGTTGGAGCGTGATTTGAAGCGCGAGAAGATGGGCCAGGAGGCGACCACAGTTGCAGTCAGCGAGCCTGCTCTGTCTTTCGAGTTTGATTCATCGCAGTCCTTGTATGAACAGCTCACAAAGGCACAACAAGCGAACTCATCATCGTTTGCTGCTCACGCAAGTACGACATATGGCCAACCTGCATCCCCAGTGGTTCGGACCGTTGACGCTATGCCTCCTCCTCAGATGGCTCCCCAAATGGCTCCCCCGGCGCTACCCCTTCTCCCAGACGAGTCCGGCCACCCGGCGATGTACAACCCGATCCCCATGCCTACGACTCTAGCCCAAAACGTTATTAAGCGTGAAGCAGAGTATGGGCAGATTCAGTACGATCGCAACGGAATGCCGATTGCTCGCATTCACCAGCGTCATGCCTCAATGCCAACCTTCGTCGAATACTCCCCGGCTCCGTCCTTCGTGTCCTCGCAGTACGAGGATTATTCCAATCGGGGTCTATCGTTTGAACCAGTCACGCCTCCGCAGCACGGTCACCTTGGCGCTGAACCAGCCTATATCGCCAACGAAGATACCGGTCTCTACACCGCTATCCCTGATATCTCCTCGGCAGCACCTTACCATCCGATGATGCAGCTTCCTCCTTCGAATTTCACAGGTGCTCACTTCCCAACTCCGGCTAGATCTTTCCCCTCAAATGTCTATTCCATGCTAGAGGGTTCACCGACATACAAGCAGCGTCGGCGCCGGTCCTCTATCCCTCCAGGCGTCACTAGTGCTGCTGCTACTATGCACCCGCAGGTTACGGCCCCACAACCCCAAGCTGTCACTTATGCCGCCCATCGGCCAAGTGACCTTCGGCGGTCTGTGTCCAGCTCCGTGGCCCCTATACCAGAGGCAGGAGATGATTCGCATCACGACATCCATCGCTCCCTCAATGGTTATCGTGCGGCGGTTCTTCCTCAGAAGAATTTGTTGCATGAAATGTCGCGCCATAGCACCCCCTTGTCGAGCTTGGATGAAACTCCTGAGTCGCATGTCATGCATCCCACGAATGGTACAGATGAACTCGCTCCTCTTCCAGATGGCGAGGCGCTCGACGTTCCCGCCCAGCACAGTGCGGGAAGCAAGGTAGAACGATATGCTCCTGGGCCTGTTCGCCGGGCTCGGAGCGCTACCATGATGGAACTTGGCCCCTATCCACAGAAATCGCATTCCTGTCCGATCCCATCATGTGGACGGCTGTTCAAGAGACTAGAACATCTGAAGAGGTTAGTCACTATCACTATCTTTGTCTGGTTATTCTGTCCGCTACGGCTGTGTGCCAGCACGGCTCCTGTAGCTTCTTACTGACATCTGATGCTTAGACATGTGAGGACTCACACTCAAGAGCGACCTTATCCTTGCCCCTACTGCAACAAGGCCTTTTCCCGGTCGGACAATCTTGCACAGTAAGTCTTCCTGGTATGCTATTCTAGTATCATAGTCCACTAATGTCGTAAACTAGGCACCGTCGTATTCACGAGGCTCAGCAAGATGGTCAGCCGCCAGTTTCTGTGCCGGATGATGACCTTGAGAATGAGGAGAACGGGTTTGGCTCCCAAGATGAGGGATCCTCGCCGTCCGACTCGATGCCAAGTGCTGTCGTCCCTAGTGTGACCACAATGCCATCTGCAATGACTTTGCCAGCTTCTATGCCCACCATGATGGCTCCTCATATGATTGCGCCCCAACTTCTGCAACAACAGATCTGAGGAGCTTGATATTCTTCGGAAATGCCTGAACCATATCAAACTTTTTTTATATCGCATATACTCTGCGGGTAACATACCTTGATCTTCCGTCATATTATGCCGCCTTCTTTCGGACCTGGCTCATGCGGGTCCTATGTTCATACTACCTGCTTCTGGATGACCCATCGAATTTGTGTTTGACTTGGTAGACCCTCATTGCTTATGCCACGCCCCAGCGATATTCCTCGAACTATCTCTGGCTACCTGTGGTGGCTTTTTGTCTTTAGGCCTGTCCGTTGTTCGACAGTCACAGCGATACCCTGGCAATACCCTGGCATGGGCGAGCAACAGCTCCCCTGTGACTTATTTTCACGATCGCGCTGGATCTACTTATCCCTAATAAGCGACATCGACATTTGCGATTGTGGACTACGCTGGTAGATTCCCATCACAATCGGTTTTCTTTTTCTTTTCTTTTTCCTCACCCCCCTTGTCCTCTGCGCTTCGGTTCGGTCTCTGGTTCTGTTTCTCCCTCATGTGTTATGTTGATAATGGGTATCTCTTGTATTCATTTTTTCATTTTTTTTTTCTTTTTTCTTTTTTTTTCTATCCCCTTCCTCTTTGACATCTTTTCCTTTTCTCATGATCCTATCACTTCCTTTGCCTGCATTTCGGTCAAATATGTTGAGGTGGGAAATGGCAACTTTGGAAACGCAGGTTAAGACAAAGACGGGGTCCCCAACTCCAAGGGAGAGGCTACGACTATGAGGCTCGAGAGGTTTATCGGGCGACCAATCCGGCACGTTTGGGCTGAAAAGCCTTGGTATACTGGATCCGAAGCATGGAGTCGCCATAAATGGGAAAGCAAAAGGTGGAACTTGTGACTGTGGCAGGAGTGTTCTGGTTCTGGCGAAATACATGCATATAGATATGAATCAAATGGTAATGAGATTTGCCCCAGTCAGACGACCTTCAATCACCCCGTAGGCTCCATGCATGATCTGTTTCGTGAATGGATGGATTGCTCTTCCCCGGACTAAACGGGAACAAATCGTGGCTCAGTCACGTGTGTGGCCTGCTGACGTCGACCCAACCTTACCAAGAAGAAGCGAGGCGCGAAGGACACATGACATGCTTGCTGTTCATCATCATCTCATCTCCTTTGCCTTACCCTTACCCTTGGAGCTGGCCCTCATTATTTAGATATCCTCCAAAGTCTCAGGCAGTCATGGATCAATATCAGGACTGAATCATTCTCATTTTAACTCCGTCTCACTAAAGATTCTGGTTCTGCCCATCCAACCCGCGTTGCCTCTATAGCCTCCGCCCGGCCTCGTTTAGAGCTACGCTTGCTTGAGCTCTGAGCAAGGAAATTATCTAGACGCAGTGACTTGACTTTGACTTTCTCCCCTCGGCTGCTTCGACGCGCTCGGCTGTATACCTCTGACAGGTACTGTCTTCCCACTTCGTGCATACGAAGCCAGTCGCCTCTTACCTCAACGGTCGATACCCTGGTCATCTTGAGAAGATCACTCAGAAGACTGGATCAGAGCCTAAGCACATCAGCTCAGAGTGGCCTCTGCTGGTCTATTTGAGGGAACCCTTTTCAGAACACGATTTCAATGCCGGAAGCACATTATCGGTTTGCCAATGAAACGTCCCCTTTGGTGGGAGCAGCTGACAGTAATGAAGTGACTTCAATGACGCACTCCGGAGAATCAAGTGCAATCAATGGGTCGGGAGATACTCCCGATCTCTCGGAGACCAAGAGCAGCTGGTATCTGTTCTTGTTGACCTTGAGTATTGGCGGGTGAGCACTGACCTCCTCCAATCGGGAGCATGAGTCTGCTTCTCAGCAGCCAGAAAGCTGATAACTATATCCACTGTCTCAGTCTTCAGGTCGTATGGTCTACTGAGCTATCCAATGGATCGGTAAGCTCGCACGGTCCCGCCGCATGATCCTGCTTGGACTAATCCGCGGGGGTGGCTGTAGCCCTATCTTTTGTCTCTTGGAATGAGCAAAGCTCTACTTGCTTTCGTTTGGATTGCCGGTCCTTTGACAGGAACCCTCGTTCAACCCTACATCGGCATCTGCAGTGATAACTGTCGCATATCATGGGGGAAGCGAAAGCCGTTCATGGTGGTCGGCGGTGCAGCGAGCGTTGTCTCCCTCCTTGCCTTAGCCTGGGTCCGAGAGCTTACAGAAGGCCTCCTTGGAGTATTCGATGTTGCACCGGGGTCCGATACGTCTCAGGCAGTGGTTATTGTGCTAGCCACTATCCTGATGTATTGTTTGGACTTTTCTGTAAATACTGGTAGGTCTGGCCAGAGTTTGCCCTCGTGTGACTTGATCGCGGAGAAGCTGACAGGATTTGGCTACAGTCCAAGCAGGTATCAGGTGTTTCATTGTTGATAATGCGCCCTCACACCAGCAGGAATCAGCAAATGCGTGGGCCAGCCGCATGACTGGTCTGGGCAACATCCTTGGATATATTTTTGGATACGTGGATTTGCCCAAGTACTTCCCATTATTGGGCAACACGCAGTTTAAAGTGCTGTGCGCTTTAGCATCACTATCACTTATCTGTACATTGTTGGTCAGTTGCTCATACATCAAAGAACGAGATCCACGACTGGAAGGACCTCCATCCGGGGGCAACCCTGGCTTGATCGCTTTCTTCAAGCAGGTCTTCAAGTCGATCCGATTTCTACCGCCAGAGATAGCGAAGGTCTGCGAGGTCCAGCTGGCTGCTTGGGTCGGCTGGTTTCCTTTCCTGTTTTACTCGACCACATACATTGGACAGCTTTTTGTCAATCCAATCTTCGAAGCACACCCGGGGTTGTCGGAGCATGACATCAACAAAGCATGGGAAGAAGCCACCCGCATTGGGACATTTGCACTTCTTGTTTACGCCATTATCTCCTTTGTGGCTAATCTGACCCTGCCGATTCTTGTTGTGCCTACATACAAGCCGATCGTTGCCACCGAGTCTGAAGTTTCAGATGATCAATTGGAGGAGGAGCCTTTCCTCGGCGATCGGAGGCGATCCTCCTCAATAGGAACGGCGATGGAAGCATCTACCGGTATCTCTCCTGAACCCAAAGGTGGATTCGCAGGAGGGGCTGGGTGGCTCTCCAAATTACAGATTCCAGGCCTTACCCTCCGCCGCGCTTGGCTGATGTCGCATGTCAATTTTGCCATCTGCATGTTTAGTACGTTCTTCATATCGTCATACCAAGCCGCTACCGTGGTCGTTGGGCTTGTTGGAATCTCATGGGCGTTGACGCTTTGGGCGCCCTTTGCCCTAATCTCGGCGGAGGTATCGCGCATTGACACGGAGCGCCGGCTTCGACGCCAGCGGGCTGACGGTACGGTACCTGACACAAGCGTCTCCGCCAATCCGGCTACGGTTAGGGAAGACCTAGAACACGGGCACAATGTGACCACTGATAAAGAAGAAGAGGATGAGAACCTGGCGCAGGCGGGCATTATCCTGGGGCTTCACAACGTTGCCGTGTCAGCGCCTCAGATCCTCTCGAGTCTGATCTCCAGTGCCATCTTCAAGGCTTTCCAGAAACCTCGCGGGGAGCCGTGGGACGATAGTGTCGGATGGGTGCTGAGATTTGGAGGTTGCGCGACGCTAGTTGCGGCATGGTTGGCTCACAGACTCGCTGAGGGAACTCGGTGAGTGTATGCCTTATAGTAGGAGCAAATGCCGCCTCACCGGATGCTGAAGAGACTGACGGAAGACTATCTCAGATGAGAGTAGAGTGTAATTAGTCAGGTATGTAAGTAGTTGGCCCTAGCTAGTCAGAGAACATCAAGAACAATTTAAAAATCAGGTATCAGTGCTTTAACATAATACTTGGGGCTTTGATTTTACCAGATTAAAAGTGTTAGTGCAGACCACAGCGGATGAGAGAGAGAGAGAGAGAGAGAGAGAAGAGAGATCCATATACCAGCGGAGGATCAATTGCGGGCCGATACACACACATCCATACCACCCACCGATTGTAACAGTATTATACCAACAGCGGGACCCACCTCGACGGGTGTTGACGAATCCTACCTACTACCGGAGTGACTTGCGTAGCTTCCCCCCCTTGTGTGACGACTGATTGATGGACTGGCTGATTGATTGATTGACTTGACGGATTGAGTGCCCGCCCACCCGCACTATCAAGACTACCTACCTACCTACCTACCTACCTACCTAGGTACCACCGCTCCGCAGTAGCAGCAACAACACAGTTATCGTTGTCTGTCTTCTTCCACTTACTAATTTATTCTCCTCCATTCTTAAATATTGTACCTTATCGTACAACGACCTCTTCTACTCCTCCTTTTTCTTCAAATTTTACTTTTCTAGTTGTCTCTTCTCTTTTTTTTTTTCTTTTTTTCACACTCTAAATCTCACCGACTCTAACTTCCCTCCCGTTGGATCGTGCATGATCCGCGGATGATTATGTGTGTCTGCGATTCCACTCTGGCGCCAGACACTCGCCGTTGGGGTTAATCGTCCGTTTGCCATCGTGCGCGTCGACAAGTCAAATCTCCAAGTACAATGGCTAGTCAAGTGATGGGCGATGTATTGCACCAGTTGCTCCGTATGTGTCCCTCAATTTGATTGCGTCTCGATCGGGGTTTCCAATTCCCCCTTCCGCGGGAGCGCTATTCCTTCATCTCAGGCGCGCCCATCCATAAGCACGATGGCTGACTAGTATTTATGTATCCTAGGTAGAGCGGTGGACTCTGATACAGATCCCGACGATGGTACGCGATGCGACTCTGCTCACAAAGACCACACACACACACACTTGTCTCCCAGCTCTCGAAACTGACATGCCTGTTCTTCAGCTGATGCTCCCGAGGCCGGCACCAAGGAGTTCTTCAGCTCTTGGGCGCTCTTCATCCTAATCATGCTGTTGATGTTCGCGCTCTTCACCAGTTACATACTACAACAGAAAAAGATCCAGGCGGTCCATGAAACAGTCCTGTCCATCTTCGCGGGTGTGTTTGTCCAACCATCGAGGGCGGATGGGCCGCAATGCGGTGCCCTTGCGATTCATAACAAAGACTGATGGACGCATATAGGCATGTTTGTCGGGCTGATTATACGCCTAAGTCCCGAATCACCGATTCAAGACAGTGTCGCGTTTGACTATCAATTCTTCTTCAACCTCCTCCTACCTCCGATCATTCTGGCCTCCGGCTACGAGTTACACCAAGCAAACTTCTTCCGAAACATCGGTACTATACTGACCTTTGCGTTTGCGGGGACCTTCATTTCCGCCATCGTGCTGGGTCTGATTCTGTTTGTCTGGACGAGAATTCCGTTGGACGGGCTAGATATGACCTTCGTCGAAGCGATCTCGGTGGGCGCTACGTTATCGGCGACGGATCCCGTTACCATCTTGGCTATCTTCAACCTATACAAGGTCGAGCCCAAGCTCTATACGGTCATTTTTGGTGAATCAATCCTGAATGACGCCATCGCGATCGTCCTGTTCGAGACCGCGCAGAAGTATGCCGATAGTGAGGCGGGCTCTCTGACTTTCTTGAACCTATTTGAGGCTATTGGGCTGTTCTTGCTCGTCTTCTTCGGGAGTATGATTGTCGGCGTTATCGTTGGCATCATGACCGCCCTTGGTCTGAAATATACTCATGTCAGACGCCAGCCGAAGATCGAAAGCTGTCTGATCGTGCTTATTGCCTACGCCAGCTACTTCTTCTCCAACGGTGTCTACCTCTCCGGTAGGTTGCATTTCCTCATTGTTCTCGAGTCAAGCTGACAATAGACCAGGTATTGTGTCTCTCCTTTTCTGCGGCATTACCATGAAACATTATGCGTACTACAACATGTCCCGCCGGACGCAGTTGACGACGAAGTACCTCTTCCAAGTGATGGCGCAATTATCCGAGAACTTTATCTTCATTTACCTCGGGTTGGACCTTCTTGTCCAGAGGAATTTACAGTTCAAGCCCTTATTCATTCTTGTGGCCGTTTTCGGTATCTGTATTGCCCGCTACCTGGCGGTGTTCCCATTGTCTCGAGCGATCAATTGGTTCATTCGGTACAGAGCCCGTCGCCGTGGCATGGACGTTGCAGATGAGCTACCTTTTGCTTATCAGGCCATGCTCTTCTGGGCGGGCTTGCGTGGAGCTGTTGGTGTGGCCCTAGCCGCCGGCCTAAAAGGTGTCAATGCTCCAGCACTCCGTGCTACGGTACTTGTGGTCGTCGTGTTGACCGTGATTATCTTCGGTGGTACCACCGCTCGAATGCTGGAGATTCTCGGGATCCGGACCGGTGTTGTGGAGGAAATTGAGTCAGATGATGAGTTTGATATCGAGGTGACCAATGGCGGCACATATTACAAACGCTCTGACACAGGCCTGGGATACACTCCTCGCCGCATTGATTCGACCATTCCTTTGGATGGCATTCGGCGGGGCGAGCTCGACCGCCACGATAGCTACTCCAGTGGTAACAACCGTCGCCCCAGTCCTCCGCCGTCTGGCTCTCGAGGACATTCCCGAATGTACTCGAATGCCTACAGTCAGCGAGACACCGCTCGTGACCATTCTTCAACAGCTACTTTGTTGGGTGGCCGGCCTCGGAGCCACAGTGAGAGCAGCGCGGCAAGCGAGGATGAATTTGGATTGAAGAATAATGGCAAGGGTCGTGCGACAGACGCCGATCAGCTCGATGCCTTCGATCTCGATGTAGGTGATGAGCCCTCGGATGACGACCTTCCCCCTTCAGCTCCTACGTCTCGACTGCGGCGGTCTCCCTCGCAACCCCAACAGTATTTGGGAGGGTCCCAGGACCAAACCCCGGCAACTAGCTCTCCTATGCGACGCGAGACAACATTGAGCGCAAGGGCGGCGATCCGGGACCTCTTCTCAGGGGCATCGGGAGACCACGCGGCGTGGTTCCGACAGCTGGACGAAGATTACATCAAACCCCGACTTCTTTTAGATCAGTCCAATCACAAGGGCCCTGGTGCAGTCTGAATGAAGTGACTTCTATGCGTAGCTGTCCGCTATTGCCTTGATTCCGGCGTCGCCTGTGTATATGTGCTATATATTGGGTGCAGTCTACCGGTGTGCTTGTTATTCACTCGTGCCTCTTCGATCTGATTTTGTTTGCCCTCCCTTTTTCTTAACTTACCCATTGGCATATCTGTGCTGGGTCTGGTTACCCCGGGGAGGCCTCCAGCTATTATCACACGAAGCGAAAGGAGACGGAGACGGAGACTTGGTAGATGGAACAGTCACCTTCTACTACTACTACTTCCTACCTAGATACCACTTCCTACTAGTTGAATTTCAAGAATGTTCGAACCATTAATTTAGCCTCAGTAGTAGTAGTAGTAGTAGTAGTAGTAGTAGTAGTAGTAGTAGTAGTAGTAGTAGTAGTAGTAGTAGTAGTAGTAGTAGTAGTAGTAGTAGTAGTAGTAGTAGTAGTAGTAGTAGTAGTAGTAGTAGTAGTAGTAGTAGTAGTAGTAGTAGTAGTAGTAGTAGTAGTAGTAGTAGTAGTAGTAGTAGTAGTAGT